CTAATAATTCAATTTTTCTCCTGTCCTTTGATTTAGAATCACTGAGAACTAAAACTACCCTTCTCATAAAGCCAAGCAAGGTAAAAATGGAACAACCTGACATAAACTTCAGAGAAATTACCACAGCGGCTCATATGTGGACCATCTTTGTGCCTGCTGCAGAGAGATCACCAGACGTATTCAAACTGAAAAGCAGGAGAACCTGTCAGACTGTCATTGCCTGACTTCGCTCCATCGGAAAATACTTTGAACCAGATATCTAGGGATCTTCTCAACTGGCTGCTTTCAGAACTTAGAAACTGGGATTACAGTCGGCTCCAGTCATTAACCATTGTTTTTCTTTGGTTTCTACAGAGATGTCTCTTAATAAATTCCCGATTGCTGAGACCATAGGCCTAACTTTGGGGACCACCTGCATCACCAACTCCTGAAATCAGATGTAACTGTTTAAATAAACTAAACTTTCCTCAAGACTGAGACTGGTGTCATCAGATCTGGAACAATCTGTCAACCCAACTTCTGAAATGTGAAACTTCTCAGGAAGTTTCAGAGGCGAGATTGAAGGGCTTCAGAACAGGCCTCTGGAAGGAGTGTGTCACTGGCACGTGAATTATTTTGAGCTGAAGGCAGCTTAGACCCTGCTGGCTCATAAGAAACTTTTCCTCTTCTGTAAAGACTTTGAGTTAGAGACCTTGCCAATAATAAATGTTATTGGCCAAAATAACTTCTGATGATCCACCTACATGGTAGGGTTAACTTCTAACTACTGAACATCTGCTCTGTTTATCTTCCTCTGAATGACTTTCCTCCCCTGTGAAGCCCCACTTACTTTACCTCATTCTTAGCCTAGAATGTCATATATACCTCATTTTCCTTTTCTGTCTCTGAACCTCTCATGTATGTGGGGTCTCTGACTGTCTCATGTACATTGGGTTCTAATACATATATGATTAAATTTGGTTATTTTGTGTTTTTAAAAAATGTATTGATATTTAGAGAGAGAGAGAGAGAGACAAGGGAAACAAAGTGAGAGAAACAGAGATTTGTTGTTCCACTTATTTATGCACTCACTGATTGCTTCTTGTATGTGTCCTGACTGGGGATCAAGCCCACAACCTTGGGGTATCAGGATGATGCTCTACCCACCTGAGCTATCTGGCCAGGGCTGGTTATTTTCTTTTTTTATTGATGTGTCTTATGTCTATTTGATCATTAGACCAGCCAGAAAGACTTCTGCCAAGATGGAGGCGTAGATGGAAACACCTTGTGTCCGCGCACAACCAAATCTAAAAACAACAAAATTTTAACAACAATAAACTCAACCGAACCTCACAGAAAATCGACAATACGGAGTCCGAAAACAACGAAATGCTCAGCTAAACTGGTAAGAGGGGTGAAGACAGCAGCGGAGTGGGTTGGCCAAAAAGATCCCTGCCCGGGTAGTGTGCAAGCAGCCGAAGGCACAGATCCCAAATGCGGGCTAGCTATGGGCAGACACAGGGAAGAGGTGTGGCTGTCTGTCTGCGGTCATTCGAGCATTTGTGTGCAGATAAACCTGTGAAGAGGCGAGCATTGAGACCGCACGGCACAGGGAGGCAGGCTCCCACATTTCCGCTCGGGTAAACAGGCCTGGGTGAGTGGTGGGACAGACTGAGCGAGCAGAGAGGACTGCCATTGCTCCCTCTCTGACCCCGCCCCCACATACAGTGTCACAAACCAGCGACCTGGGTGGCCCCACTGTGCTGGTAAACAACTAAGGCTCTGCTCCTCATACACAACAGGCGCGGACAGACCAAAATTGGCTCAAGAATAACCCAGAGCCCCAGAGCTGATAAATCTAAGTGATGAAGAAATACCCAAACTTTCAGATGCAGAGTTCAAAACACTGGTTATCAAGATCCTCACAGCACTGGTTGATTTTAGACACAAATTAGAGAAACATATGAAAGCTAAACTAATTGAAATGAATGGTAATGCACAGGAAACCAATAGTAATGGAAAGGAGACTGGGACTCAAATCAAGGGAGTAGACGAGAAGAAAGGAAAAAATGACCAAACAGAAAAGAATGAAGAAACAAGAATTCAAAAAAATGAGGAGAGGCTTAGGAACCTCGAGGACATCTTTAAACACTCCAACATTCAAATTACAGGGGTACCAGAAGGGGAAGAGGAAAAGTCACGAGTGGAAACCTTATTTCAACAAATAATAAAAGAGAACTTCTCCGTTCTGGCAAAGGAAATAGACTTCCAGGAAATCCAGGAAGCTCAGGGAGTCCCAAAGAAGTTGGACCCAAGAAGGAACACACCAAGGCACATCATCGTTACATTAGCCAAGATTAAAATGAGGGAGAGAATCCTAGAAGCAGCAAGATATAAGGGGGCAGTCACCTACAAAGGAGTCCCCATCAGACTATCAGCAGATTTCTCAAAAGAGACCTTACAGACAAGAAGGGGCTGGAAAGAAGTATTCCAAGTCATGAAATCCAAAGACCTACAACCAAGATTGATCTATCTAGCAAAGTTTTCATTTAAAATGGAAGGACAGATAAAATCCTTCTCAGATAAGACCAAATTCAAGGACTTCATCATCACCAAGCCCTTATTATTTGAAATGTTAAAGGGACTTACCTAAGAAAAAGAAGTTAAAAAAGATGAACAGTGAAAGGACAGCAAACTCACAGTTATCAACAACCACACCTAAAACAAAAGCAAATTAAGAGGACAGCTAGATCAGGAGTGAACCATAGAGATGAAGATCACATGGAGGATTAGCAACAGGGGAGTGGGAGAAGGAGAAGGAGGGAGAAGGTACGGAAAATAAATAGCATAGACAGTAGATAAATACAGAATCTAAATAACTTGAGGCACACGTTCATGAACTAAAGGGGAGGAATGGTGGGGGAGAGATGTGCAGGGTAGAGGGGAACGGAGGGGGAGAATAGAACAAATGTAACGGCATAATCAATAAAAAAATGTTTTAAAAATTTTTAAAAAATAGACCACCCAGAAGAACCTAGAAAAGCAGAAAAAAAATTTCTTCCTCCCCCACAATAGTAAAGCTCACTTATAATGAGAAAAGTGCAAATTAGAACTATACCAGGAGACCATCTTTTCACTTGTAAGATTGGCAATTATCAAAAGTTGGTAATACTGTTGGTGGTGACAGTGATAAATGAGCAGTTGCAAACATTGCTGGTCCAATCTTTATGGAAAGCGATTCGATATTACCTATGAAAATTAAAAATGCACATTCCCTCATGCCAGCTATTTCACTTCTAGATACACTAGCATATGTGGGAAAACACATATAGACATGATGATTCAGTGCAGCACTGGTTATAACAAACAAAGAGGAAAAACAGTCTAAAGTGCCCTTCAGTAGGGAGTACTTGAGACAGGCCCTAAAGTAGGGCCTTGCTCCCTCATATAATGGAATAGTTTGCACAAGTAAAAGAAAAGAAAGCAATATGCAAAATAACATGTATAGTATACTACCATTATTTTCAAAGTGTAGAGAAAATGGAGAATATACCTGTAATTGCTGTATAAGCACAGACTCTATATGAAGGGACATTACCTCAAAGGCAGCGAAACTGAGTGTCCAAGGGATGGGAAACAAACTTGCACCATGGAATTCTTGACCTGAGAATTGTACGTTATATGCAACAATTACTGTTTTTTAATCCAAAACTTATTTCAGTTAAAAAAAGAGAAAATGCCTTGACTAGTGTGGCTCAGTGCATTGAGCTCTGGCCTGCAAACCACAGCGTTGCCAGTCCGATTCCCAGTCTAGGGCACATGCTTGGTTTTGGGCCAGGGCCCCAGTGGAGGGTGTACAAGAGACAAGACACATTGATGTTTCCCCTCTTTCTCCTTCCCATGCCCTCTCTAAAAACAAATAATATAATTTTAAAAAACAGAAGGCAAGAAAAGAAATAATCTGACTTAAAAATGGACAGAGGACTTGAATAGACTTTTTTACAAAGAAGACATACAAATAACGAACAGATGCATGAAAAGGCCCTCAACTTCACTAGCTATTAGGGAAATGCAAATCAAAACCACAATGAGATATCACTTAACACCTGTTAGAATGGCTACTATAAAAAAAGACAAGAAATAGCAAGTGTTGGTGAGGTTGTGGAGAAAAGGGAACCTTTGTACACTATTGGTGGGAATGCAGACTGGTGCAGACACTATGGAAAATTGTATGTAGGTTCCTCATAAAATTAAAACTAAAACTACATTGTGTCCCAAATATTTCACTTCTGAGTATTTATCTCAGAAAAACAGAAATACCAATTAAAAATATATAGGCATTCCCATATTTGCTACAGCATTATTTACAACAGCTAAGGCATAGATAAAGAAAATGTGGTATATATACAATGAAATATTGTTACTCAGGCATAAAAAAAGCAATAAAAAACCCTTGCCATTTGCAACAACATGAATAGACCTAGAGGGTATTATGCTAAGTGAAATACGTCAGACTAAAAACGATAAATATTGTATCATCTCACTTATACATGGAACTTAAAAAACAAGAAAAGAACAAACAAAAGCCCCCAAATCAAACAAAAGTAAGTGAATTTGTAGGTATAGAGAACAGATTGGTGGTTGGCTGAGGCAGGGGTTGGGGAGCAGGCAGTACAGGTGTCAGGGTCAAAAGATACAAATTTCCAGTGACAAAATGATTAAGTCACAAAAATGTTATATACAGCATGTTGACTACATTAATAAGCCTGTACTGTATATTTTAAAGTAGCTAGGAGAGTGAATCTTAAAAGTTCTCATCATGAGGGAAAAAAAATTTATAACTATGAGATGATGAGTGTCAACTGGACTTATTGTGGTCATCATTTTGCAATATATACATATATTGAATCATTACACTGTAAACCAGAAACTAATGTTATATCAGTTATACTTCCATATAAAATGTACACACGCAAAGAAGGAAGTTTTAAAAAGCACAGAGCTTGTGACCCATGACTTACCAGTGACATCTTTCCTTGTGGCTCTCGGTTCAAAGTCCATGGCATAGAGATCAGAAACGGTGACAGTGCAGCCCTGTGTACGCAGTTCGTCCACAGCCACTTTCTTCAAGGATCCATTGAAAGACCTAGGTTCTTGGTGCGCATAGACAATGAGCACTTTTTTACCTAAATGCAGAGAAGAAATTATTTCTCTTAAAGAGCGATTCCTCTTTGTCAAAACTGAGTAAGGACTAAGATAAAAATGAAATATGTAGGAGTATTAAAGCAACTGAAGCTAAGAAATATCAACCTTTTTAGTGAGTTTTTAATCCAGTAATATCATAGGTGACTGTTACTTGAGTTTACTGATATACGGATATATAATGGGTCAAATTACAATTCCTCAAAAATCATGCAAAGAAGTTTTTAAAAAGCCCAATCAATGTATTTTACTTCTCCTTTATGAGAAGTTACAGCCGTAGTCCTGAACATCAAAATAAAAAAGTACTGTAACTAATCTTTTGTGCTAACCCTGCGTTGGCAGGCACCAGCTCCTGACACAGTTCTGCTTCCCTTCCTTCAGCCCCATCGAAATTTCACACCTTAATAAGATATCAAAATTGGGCTCCTAGTCGTACTACAGGGAAGGCAGGCCCATGAGGAGCCCTGCTTTTGGTTGTATAATGAGAAGAAGTCTAAAAAGAGTCCAGTCTTCTAGGTGCTCGTGTGTCATTATTACCAACAGCTTCTGAAGTAGTATTTCCCTTGTTCATGTGAATTATGTACTGATTTTTTTGGGGGGAGGCAGCTCTGGTGACTTGTGTAAATTTTCCCATGTAATAGCTAAGGTCAAAATGTTTAAACTTTTGATTTGAAATTTTCAGTTTAGGTCCTTAAGGAAAAAATACAAAGGTTAGTCTAAAGCACACAAATTAAGGGCATTCAACTGAGGATGAAGGTGGAATTCCATGAGTTAGACTAATGATTAATATTTTTTATTTTAACTTCTCATAGTCATGTTTAAATGAATGGACTCTACTTGGGGGCTTTATAGGAAAATGGAGACAATGCAACATCTATGTCCATAATTCTCAATTAGAGGCAGTGTTGCCTCCCAGAAGATATTTCACCATATTTGGAGACTCGTTCAGTTTTCACCACTTGGGGTGGGGGGAGCTACTGGCTTTTGGTAGGTAGAGCCCCACAGATGCTGCTAAACAACCGACAATGCATGAAGCACAGGCTTATCTGGCCCAAAATGTCATTAGTGCTGAGGTGGAGAAATCCTAATGTATAATATCACATTTAGAGTGGATTTTTATCTTCTGAAATGAAAGGATTTCCATGTTATATTGTTGAGAGAAAAAAAGATGTCACAGAATGGGGTGCTTGTCATGAGCAGGGACTCAAGTGAAATGGGGAGTCATACTGAATTTCTAACCATGGTTACTCCCAGGCCTCACTCATTCAACTATTTATTGAGCATCTACCATTCTCAGGGATCACTCCAGAGACTGGACAACATGGCCCTTACTTCTGAGGAACTTATATTTGGTAGAATTTAAATAGACAAGAAAATACAAAATAAGGTAATTCAAGTTAGTGATCCACATTATAAAAGAGTGTTATACACTTCAGTATTGTATGGCTTTTTAAAACCACATATTCAACTTTCAATTAAAAATTTAATTTAAAAAAGTTTAACTCTCCCATAGCTAATAGTCACCTGCCATATTCTAGGATGATGAATTTTTTTCTGTGACAGGCAGAAGGTAGTTTTGCTATTGATCCTGGGCACAGAATGATTCCATGTACCTGGCCCCAGGCTTTCAGATGCAGTTGCTCTCCTCAGTGACCTCAACAATCTAGAAGAGAAAAACAAACACTTGAGGGAGGTGGGGAGACAAGGTGGTGAGGCTGATGTACTCATTCTAAGGCTCACCATCACTTTGTGGAGGACATGCAAACATATCAGAGAAAAGGATTTTCAAGAGAGGCAAGGAACCACCCCTTCTGCCTCAACAACCACCATGGTTCCTGTGAAAAAGTCTGTGGCAAAGGGGGGCAAAAATAAAGAGGTGGTTCTGAAGTTTATCCTCCACTGCACCCACCCAGTAGAAAATAGGATCATGGATGCTGCCAATCTTGAAGAGTTTCTTCAAGAAAGAATCAATGTGATTGGTAAAGATGGAAATCATAGAGGAGGGCTACAACCACTGAAAAAAGAAAGAGTAGATCACTGTAACTTCTGAGGTGCCTTCTCCCAAAATGTATTGAAAATATCTCACCAAAAAATATCTGAGGAATAATCCCCATGATTGTTTGCATGTAGTTGCTAATAGCAAAGAAAGTCACAAGTTATGTTACTTCCACATTACCCAGGATGAAAAGGAGGAAGATGAAGATTGAAATTCATTTATATGGCACGTTTTCTATGAGTACTTCAATAGAACTTGGGAATCAACAACAACAAAAAAAAGACGGAAGGAATTCTGGAGATTCAGGCCTCAAAGGACAGGTCATATGGGATGCCAAAACCAATTTTTAAAATATATTTTATTGATTATGCCATTACAGTTGTCCCATTTCCCCTCCACCCTGCACACCCCCTCTCCCACAATTCCCCCCTTTAGTTTATATGACCACATGTCTCAAGTTCTTTAGATTCTATATTTCCCATACTATTCTTGCTCTCCCCCTATCTATTTTCTATCTACTGTCTATGCTACTTATTTTCTGTACCTTCTCCCCCCTTCTCCTTCTCCCACTCCCCTGTTGCTAACCCTCCATGTGATCTTCATTTCTATGGTTCTGCTCCTGATCTAGCTATCCTCTTAGTTTGCTATTGTTTTAGGTGTGGTTGTTAAAAACTGTGAGTTTGCTGTCTTTTCACTGTTCATCTTTTTTATCTTCTTTTTCTTAGGTAAGTCCCTTTAACATTTCATACAATAAGGGCTTGGTGATGATGAACTCCTTGAATTTGATCTTATCTGAGAAGCACTTTATCTGTCCTTCCATTTTAAATGAAAGCTTTGCTGGATAGAGCAATCTTGGATGTAGGCCCTTGCCTTTCATGACTTGGAGTACTTCTTTCCAGCCCCTTCTTGTGTGCAAGATCTCTTTTGAGAAATCCACTGACAGTCTTATGGGAACTCCTTTGTAGGTAACTGTCTCTTTATTTCTTGCTGCTTCTAGGATTCTCTCCTTATTTCTAATCTTGGGTAATGTAATTATGATGTGCCTTGGTGTGTTCCTTCTTGGGTCCAATTTCTTTGGGGCTCCCTGAGCTTCCTGGATTTCCTGGAAGTCTATTTCCTTTGCCAGATTGGGGAAATTCTCCTTTATTATTTGTTTGAATAAGTTTTCCATTTGTTGCTTTTGCTCTTCCCCTTCTGGTACCCCTATAATTCAGATGTTGGAACGTTTAAAGTTGCCATGGAGGTTCCTAAGCCTCTTCTCATTTTTTCGCATTCTTGTTTCTTCATCCTTTTTGTTTTGGTAATTTTTTTCTTCCTTCTGGTTCACTCCATTGATTTGAGTCCAAGTTTCCTTCACAGCAATATTGGTTTTCTGTGCATTTCACTTCATTTCAATTAGTTTAGCCTTTGTTTGATCCTCTAATTTGTGTCAAAAATCAACCAGTTCTGTGAGCATCCTGATCACCAGTGTTTTGAACTGTGCATCTGATAGGTTGGCTATTTCTTGGTCGCTTAGAGTTATTGGCTCTGGAGCTTTGAGTTCTTCTTGAGCCATAATGTTTTGGTCTGTTCACGCCTGTTATGTATGATGGGCAGAACCCTAGATGTTCACCAGGGCAGGGCAACTCAGTCACTGGGTTGTAATGCTGTATGTGGGGGCGGGGTAAAAGAAGGGCAATAGCGGTCCCCTCTGCTGCTTCCTGCCACTGGGGCCTGTGTTGTCTGTCTCACTGCTCACTCCTTTGCCTAGTTTATATATGTGTGAATGTGTGACTGCAGTTAGCCTGCTGCCTTGTGCTGTCACTTGGTCTGCGCGTTGCAACTGTGCACTTGGGATCTGCCAACCCCTGCCCAGATGCCTGGCTTGCTCTGGCCGGGTTTTCCTGCACAACCCAGCTCTGCCAGTCGCTGGCTCCAACCCTCTTACCCATCTGGCTGAAGAGTTCGGGGTTGTTGGACTTCCGTATAGTTCAGTTTTCTGTGTTTTGGTTGGGTTTTGTTACTAAAACCTTGTTGTCTTTAATCTTGGTTGTGCAAGGAGGGACACTGTTTCCACCTATGCCTCCATCTTGGCCGGAACTCCATTTTTTTTTTTTTTTGAGAGGACTCAGAACCTTCTGAGAAGGCAGCCATGGAGGAAAGGTCCTGGGAACTGAGACATCTCATAGGAAGCAGCATTGTGCCTCTCAGTCCTTCCTCCCTCTCCTAAATGATCCTTCCACATAATCAATGAGGCCGAATAAAGGGCAGGGGTATTGGTAAGAAATGTGACAGCTACTATGACTACCATGGTCTACAAAGTACAAGATGTTTGAGAAGAGCAAGACAGACAGTACATATGCATGAGGCTGGCACATAATAAGGCTCTGAAAAAAATATTAGCTGTCCCTTGACTGCCTCACAGACATGAAGGAAGCCTGAATCTTCACTAACTGGCTCCATTCCGGGAAGACAGGTTCATCCAACACACCTGCTTCCTTTGCCAGAAAACAGCCAGCTCAGAGCCTGTGACTCAAGGCCATTGTGGAGATGCTGCCTATATGACAATTTCAACATGACTGCATCTTTACAGAATAACAATAATGCTGACAAAACAGAGACAGGAATTGGGCTGATCCATTGCCACACTAGGGTCTGGAGCAGAGCCTGAATCAGCACCTTCCAGGGTGCTGGGTAGTGGCCAGGAGATAAAAAGCTAGGATATGCAGAATATTGCCAGGGAGTAAAGGTAAGGTACAGGAGAATGTGCTCCCTGTCCTGGAGACAGAAGTAAAGAGAGACTTAAATAATTGTGGCTGAAGCTGTGTTGGAGGAAGTCAGGACACTTGAAGTGAAGACAGAGCAAATAGTTCTGATCAGTCAGAACAGAGGAACTTCAATGCCCTCCTGTCTCAAAGGTGATTTCAAGTCTTTCCCCAGTCTCTTAAATTGACTATTAAACAGTTAGGAGCCTACTTCTTTGGCTACCCAACATCCCTTCTTGTCCTTTAACAATCTCTGTATTTATTCACATATCAATGTGCCAAACTAGACTATATTCCCCAGCCCCTCTGGCATTTAAGTGTGGCCTCCGAAGTGGCCGTATCCTTAAAGGATCTGAATCGGTTGGGGGGGCGGTGAGGAGAGAGAGGTACCATTCTGTCCCCTTGCCATGGGCCTTCTTCTCAGTTGGACTGTGGAATGATAGTGAGGGCTCCACGTGTCACCTCGTTACCCTGAGGGTAGAGGCTATGGATTAAGGATGGTAGAGCAGAAACCTGAAAGGCACCTGGATTCCTGATGTTTTCTTAGAGCTGTGAGATGGTTCTGGGTTGCCAGTCTCCAGACTGCTTTACATGAGATTGAACTCTAAATTGTGTTTAAGCTGTTGGAGTTGACTATTACTAGCAGTGAGCGGGACACAATTCCTAACTGATCTATACATTCATTCAGCTGGATCCCTGCCTTGAGGATTCACCCACCCTCTGGTCAGGTACTGCACTAGGTGCTGAGGCTACTGTGGTGAACCAAAGAGGCAAGATGCAATTTTACTCTGGGTTTGTGGGGTTGGGGAGTTATATAAAACAAGCAGACAAAGCAACAACAGAATTCTAGATAGTGATAAGTACTAATAATAATGCTAATAGTGACAGAGATAAGAAAATAAGGTACTTTAGCAGATAGAATAGAAAGAGTGTACTTGATATTTTGCAATAGAGGGGCCCAGGAAGATATCTCTGAGCATGAATGAATGATGATATGGACCAAGCCATGCAGAAATCTGGGAATATTTTACTTGCACAGCAAGTAAAAGGCATAGGGTAAGAACTAACATGGAGCATTCTAAATCCTGTTTGGTTCATGGTTCAAAAAAGAGTTATGGTGGACAATGCAGTGAGAGGAGGGTGGGTTGCAGTACAGGGATGAGGATGTTGTTCTAAGCATAACAAGACATCCAATGGAGCATCTTAAATGGGAATTTCATATGTAATGATTCCTTTTTAAAAGGTTATCAGACTTCCAGCCAAGATGGAGGTGTTGGAAGATACACTTTGCCTCCTCCCACAATCAAAAGAAAAACAAAAGCAAATTTTAAAACAAAACATCACCAGAAGTGTCAGAAACTCTAATGGTATGGAAGTCTGACAACCAAGGAGTTAAAGAAGAAATATTTATCCACACAGGTAGGAGGAGTGGAGATGGGCAGCTGGGTTGGAAAGGACTCATGGCAAGGCAGCAGCTGGAGGACCTGGCAGAGCAGATGTTGGTGGAGTGGGTGGTCCCACATTTGGGCTGGTATGGATAACCCAAGAGGAAAAACTGGGGAGCAAGACAGACTGCACAATGCAGGGTACCAGCGCAGGGAAATAAAGTCACAAAACCTCTGACTGAGAAACCCTGTGGGGGTTTGTAGAAACAGGAGAAACACTCTACCTCACAGGAGAGTTGATTGGAGAGACCCATAGGATCCTAGAATGTACACAAACCCACCCACCTGGGAATCAGCACCAGAAAGGCCCAATTTGCTTGTGGGTAGCAGAGGAAGTGACTGAAAGTTGGCAGAGAGCTGAGCAAGCAGCATTGTTCCCTCTCCAACCCCTCCCCCACATACAGTGCCACAACACAGCAAAGAGGGTTGCGTCACCCCAGCCAATACCTAAGGATCCAGCCCTTATTATGTAACAGGTGCACCAAGACAAAAAAAAATGGCCCAAATGAAAGAACAGATCAAAGCTCCAGAAAATATACAACTAAGTGATGAAGACATAGCCAACCTATCAAATGCACAGATCAAAACAATGGTAAACAAAATGGCCACATAAATGGTTGAGTATGGCCACAAAACAGGAGAAAAAATGAAAGCTATGTGGAGTGATATAAAGGAAAATGTATAGAAAACCAAAAGTGAAGGAAAGGAACCTAGGACTGAAATCAATGGTTTGGAGTAGAAGGAAGAAAGAAACATTCCACCAGAAAAGAATGAAGAAACAAGAATTTTAACAAATGAGGAGAGGCTTAGGAACCTGCTGGACAACTTTAAACATTACCATATCCAAACTGTAGGTGTGTCAGAAGAAGAAGAGAAAGAGCAAGAAATTGAAAACTTATTTGAAAAAATAATGAAGGAGAATTTCCCTCATCTGGCAAAGGAAACAGACTTTCAGGAAGTACAGGAAGTTCAGAGAGTTCCAAAACATTTGGACCCAAGGAAGCACACATGAAGGCACATCTTAATTATATTACCCAAGACTGAAGATAAGGAAAGAATCTTAAAAGATGCAAGGAAAAGCAGAGTGCTACCTACCAAGGAGTTCCCAGAAAACTGTCAGCTGATTTCTCAAAAGAGACCTTGCAGGCAAGAAGTGAGTGGAAAGAAGTATTCCAAGTGAAAAAAGGCAAGGACCTACAACCAAGATTACTCTATCCAGCAGAGCTACCATTTAGAATGGAAAGGCAGATAAAGTGCTTCCCAGATAAGGAAAAATTAAAAAAGTTCAACATCACCAAGCCCTTATTATATGAAATGTAAAAGGGACTTATCTAAGAGAAAGAAGATCAAAAACTATGAACAGTAAAATAACAACAAACTCAAAACTATCAACAACTGAACCTAAAAACACAAACAAACAAAACAAAAAATGCACTAAGCAAAGAACTAGAACAGGAACAGATTCTCAGAAATGGAGATCACCTGCAGGGTTATCAGGAGGAAGGTGGAGGGGGTACATGGGGGGAAAAGGTACAGGAAATAAGAAGCATAAATGGTGGTACCAAATAGACAGGGGGAGGTTAAGAATAGTATAGGAAATGGAGAAGACAAAGAACTTGTATGTATGACCCATGGACATGAACTAAGATGGGGGAATGATGGTATGAGGAGAGGCCAGAGGGGAATAAAGGGGAGAAAATGGGACAACTGTAATAGTATAATCAATAAAATATATTTTAAAAAGAAAAGGTTTTATGGTCACTTCAGACTCGCATAACACCTTATCCTGAGACTCCTAGGATGAGCAGGACACGTATTCTTCTGCATCCCCAGGCCTCTCCATTCTCTACCCTTTTGCTTGTCCCAGGTTACATATTTACATCACACACCTGTGCCCTTGAGGCACTTGGGTTGGTGACTCCCCATCTTATACAACTCTTCCACTTGTATAGAGCAAGAAACCAAGGCTTAATAAGTAAGCTGCTTATCTCAAAATAAAGTATTCAAGCCAGGCTTTTGACTTGCTGTCAGGTGCTCTTCGATTCCTATTCAGTTACCTTCCTTAGTGCCCCACTCCACAGTAATCTTTTCTTCTTTGTTAGGAATTACGCACTTGCCCAGGTCAATAGGAAAAAAAACCCACGAAGTTATTAAAAAATAATAATTACATATATATGAAATGGGCTGATATTATTGATGTAGGTTATTTCTTTTTACTCAGCATGCAGATGCTCTTTTGTGTTTTCTCCTTGCCTCTGTTACATGTGGATGGGCTCTGTGCCTGTCACTCTGAATGGATAACATTTCACTCTGTAGATATTCCAGTGTCTGTGTGCCCATTTGTGACCATTCCTCTATTCCTGGGCACTTTGCTTATTTCCTTTTCCCACCCCCGACTATAAAAAGCACTGCTGGAAGCATGTATTATTTAATACACCCCCTTTTCTTCATGTATTTTTGGCTGATATTTTCAGGGAAGTTAAGGCTAAAGGCGCTGACTTTGGAAGGTTCTGTTACAAACTGCCACAATATAGGTGACAAAGGCTGATGTGGGGAGCTGGCATAATTTGGTACCCCCTTTATAAACTGATTTTGGGATGATGCCCTATTACCTAACTCTTTTGCAACAGGGTTGAGAGCAGATTAAATGACAGTCTGTTAAACACTTACAACCAGGCCTAACATGCGGGAGGGTTTAGGAAGAGTGATGTAAAATGCTAATTTCGAAATGGTCGATGGGCCACGGTAGCGGAAACTACGTGTTTCCATTCTGGCTGGGAAGTGAAATCTGCAGAAACCTCTCCCGCCCTGCAGTCGCCACGGAGAGAGAGGGGCGTTCTGGGACCTCTATTTCCCAAGCCCGCGGGTGCCCTGCAAGGGGATGTACTCACCCTTCTGCACGTAGGTGGACGCCCAGGAAAGAAGAGCCAGAACTCGGACCCGTGCCTCTGAAAAACAAGCTGTGGACGTCCGCACCAGGGGCCTGCCGTGGACTCGCAGACCCAAGGCAGCAGGCGGACTGCCCAGTTGGGGGTCCCAGGGTTGGAATGGACTTTTGTTGCCCACCAGGCTGGCCCACACCGCGTGTTTCCAGCGTCTCCTGGGCTCCTCTCCCGTCCTCCACCTATTCGCTGCCTTCACCAAGTTGAAGCTCTTCCCAGGCCTCTGGCCCCTCCCCGCCTACCGTGTACTCCAAGGTGACCCTCTGCCCACCCTCTTGAGGCCCGCCCCTGACCCCGCCTTCTTGTTTACTTCCTCCTCCTTCCTGCCTTGGGTTGAAGCAGGACCAAGCTGAGTGCAGTGGGATCTCCAGGCTTGCACTAGGAGGAGCCCTCCTGCCTGGGCAGGTCTCCAGGATAAAAAATGAAGGTCTGTATCTTGGCTATTGGGAATGCTGCTGCATTGCACATAGGGGTGTGTATATCTTTTTGAAATAGTATTCTAGGATAAATTCCTGAAGTGGAATTGCTGGATCATATGATACTTCTACTTTCAAGTTTTTCAGGAAACTCCATACTGTTTTCCATAGCTCTTCCACCAATTTAGAGTCCCAGCAGTGCAAGGGGGTTCCCCTTCTCCACTTTTTCGCCAACACTTGTTTGTTGACTTTTTAAAAGTAATCATTGTATCAGGTGTAAGGTGATATGTCACTGTGGTTTTGATTGCATGTCCCTAAGGATTAGTGATGTTGAGTATCTTTTCATGTGTCTGTTCGTCATCTGCATGACTTTGGAGAAATATCCGTTCAGGTCGTCCACCCATTTTTCAATGTAAAATGTTTTTTTATGTTGGGCTATATTAAGAAGTACAAATTCCCAGTTATAAAAACAGTTATAGGGATGTAAAGTACAGCATATAGTCAGTAATATTGTAATAACAATGTGTGGTGCAAGATAAGTACTAGACTTATCATGGTGATCTCTTTGTAAGGCATATAAAGTACACCTGAAACTAATATAATATTGTATGTCAACTATAATTTTAAAATAAATTTTAAACAAGACAGTCCATGGTGTAACACTTAGCAACAAAACAGAATAATCTATCGGTACAGCTATTGTCCTATGCAAATCCCCAGAGAATTATGGAGGGGAAAAAGCAAATCCCAAAAGGGTCCATATGCTGTGTAACTGTACGTGTACATGGCCCTATACATTTACGTAGCATTTGTGAAATGCCTGATTATGAAAATGGAAAACAGATTAGTGGTTGCCAGGGGTTAGGGAGAGGTTGGATGTGGCTATGAGAGGGCAACAGTAGGGGACTGTCATGATGGAAATGTTCTGTATCTGTGGTGTCGATATCCTGCTTGTGATACTATGCTGTAGTTTGGGCGTACGTTTTCTTTGGGGGAAACTGGATAAAGCCCATGTGAGAAGTCTAGGTGTTATTCCCTACAGCTGCATATAATTTCCTCAAAATAAAACATTTAGTTAAAAAAAGTATTGTTCGAGGCCCAGGATATCTTTCAGGGCCAGGATATTCCTCAGAATGTGGAAAGGTATGGAACAAGAGCCTGTGGATGTGTCTGTATGTGGGGGAGGAGGGCAGAGGGGTTTGCTAATGAGCAGTTTGGGCTAATGGTCTCATTTTCTTTTTCTAGCACTTTCTGGTGTGTGCCATCTCATTTGACAGTCTACCACTGTGACATCTCCACTGATTGTCCTCAAACTCTATGCCTTGATTTCTGGTGTCCTAGGATAGCCTTATCCAAGTAATAGAGCTGAAGTAAGGTTGGTTTCCCCCATGTTCATAATGAGAATGTGGTGCTGTTGTTTGTAGATCAGTGTTTGGGTGGGTTTGTTTGCCGTTGATGCTTTCCTTGTATTCAGGAATGAGACTGTGACCTCTCCCTCAGAGGCCCACATGCTAGCAGGGAACAGGGCCACTTGTTTTGTCAGCCTAGGACATCCTGGATGCAGTCTATATTTTAGAACGACCTTTATCAGAGCAAAGGTGCTTGAGGCATTTCCAAACATGCTAGGATGTCTAGAAAAATTAAATTTGGTTTTGTTTTGGCCCTTTCTGGTGAGATGCACTTAGAGGCCCTCAAATAATCTTATGTCACAGAGAGTTAATACTTCATACTAAGAAAAGTAGGTGCAGGTCGGCTGCTGGGGCAAATTTTCCCGCATGTCTCCCCCATCCCCCCATCCCCCAGGGATGAAAGTAAACAAGACATGGCATGATCTGCTTGTGTAGGAGAGGTGGCTAATCCCTCAAAAGGGAAGGGCCATGAGCAGTGGCCAGTTTCTCAGGGGAAAAAGGCCTTGAGCGCCTCCTTTGAGGGGCTTTTATTAGGTTGAAATACACTGGAATACAGGGCCACAAGGATCAAACAGTAGATAAATTTCAAAGAAATCTGAGGGCTTGGTCTGAGTCAGAAGAGAGTTTTGCAGAAACATTACAGTTTCCTGCTCGAACTCTTAACATATGAATGAAAGCAGTCTTAGCCAAGCAGATTTCACAGAAATTCTTTGTGATTCCAGATTTTTCCCCCACTGGGATCCCCTCTGGCAAACATAGGAGCTGCACCCCTCCCCAGCAGGTATTTAGGCTTAAGGGGATTAGAGCCAGGAAGTGCTTCTTCCAGAGGACCTGTGGACTTGGGCTATGTCACATAGCCTGGGGATAATTGTCCATTGCTCACTCTTTGTTGCAGCCCCTCAAGTCCTTCCATGCTGGCCTCCCAAGTGGTCGAGTCTGGCTTAGGTTGATCCCTGCTGTGAGGAGACTTATCTGTCATGGACTTCCGACCATACTTTGGAGGCAAGGATAGGAAACTGAGGCAGCATTTGCCACCAGAGACGAGCCTTGTCTCCTGTGGCTCACATGCTGGAGGACGCTTTATAGCCTTAGACATGGGAGAGGGTTTACAATCCCTGAAACCAGGCAGAGCAGTCCACAACAGTCGGCTTCTCTGGAATAGAAGAAGTTTACCTTTCAAGGTGAACTTTCTTACAAGGATGGCAAGTAACCTTGCTGTCTAGTGGGAGGGGTGTACTCAGGTCTTTTGTTCTATGAGGACGTCTAAGAAAACAATAGCTGGTCTTCTGGGTGGTGTGGATCCCAGGACATGACCAGGGAGCTGTGGAATAGCAAGTATTAGAAACTGTCTTGGAGACAATTAAATCTTCTCACAGGAAAATCATGTTTCTGAATCTAATCTTGGTCCTGTATCACATAATAGGATTCAAGAATGGTTACATGCCTTAATACCACAGATGGAAAATTATAATAATTGTGGCATTTTATCATTTTTATGAAACAGTTCACCGCTCTCATAATATCTCACATCAGGTATCAATGGAAGAAATCTATTGTGTTTGTGTTCCAGCCAGACAAAAGTCTTTAAATGTTCTGTGTTACTGTGAACTCATAAGAGTAGATAACAAGTGAATTGAGAGCGTGGAACCCAAACCAGAATAAACACTATCTCAAAGACTGACAGAAGATCTTAAACATAATATATATAATATATGTCTTTTATAAACATAATATATATATTAAGATCTTATTTATTTATTTTTAGAGAAAGGGGAAGGGAGGGAGAAAGAGGGGGAGAGAAACATTGATATGTGAGAGATACATTTATCTGTTGCCTCTCTCACACCCCCAAAGGGGACCTGGCCCACAACCCAGGCATGTGCCCTGACAGGGAATGGACCTGGAGACCCTTTGGTTTGCAGGCTGGCCCTTGATCCCCTGAGCCACACCAGCCAGGCCTATTTTAAAAAAATAAGAAAAGAAAAAGAATGACTCTAAAAGCTTGAGATCAATAAGTTTCCTTCCTTCATTCATTCTAAAAGCATTTACTAAGCACCTACTCTGTGTCAATAACTATTTTGGAGATGGAATACTTAATCCTGAACAAAAACAGACCCTGGTCCTTAGGTCCCCTGGTGCCATGGGGTGTGCAAACTACTGTGGGAAACGAGAGCCAGTGCAAGGAATGACTTGCAGAATGAATTGCAATCATCCTGAAGATGTGTGTGTGTGTATGTGTCAGGCTTTTTAAATAAAGAGGTGTTAAATGGCGAAAGTTTTGCTCATGTTACATATTCTCCCTCAGTGCAAATGTATATAGACTGTTTATTTCCACAGACCTTAGGAGTAGTAAATATAAAAGGACCACTGGTTTCTATTGCTCTGGGTTCTATTGCCTGGTGCCAATAAGAAGCATGACTCCCAATACCAGAGTCTTATGAAAAGGAAAGGAATAACTGTATTTTTGGAGTAGAAGACTTACTTTTCTCCCCAAATTTGGGAGGAAAGGGGGGTGCCTCTTATAGTCCAAATGTAGCTTACCTGGCTCACTGTGGGGGGGCAGAGGGGCGCCAGCAGCGGAGCAAGGTCACAGATTATGAAATATTTTACCACATTTTTTAAAAAAACATTTTTCCTATTTCCTACTCTAAAACCTAGGTGCATCTTATAGTCCTAAACATATGGTATTCATTCAAAGTTGTACAGGTCTACAGTAATGGGGGAATTCTACCATTAAGTCTTGCTCACTTTAGAAACAAAAAAATACCTACCAATACACAGTCCTGCCTCCCCTTGCCAAACCAGGCCAGTGAGAGGTACTACCTCTCAGGAAAAGAAATACAAGTCTGTAGCTTAGCTGGGCAGAGTTCTGTGTGTATTCAGGTTTCCTTCAGTGGTCCCTGCTCAGCTGGCTAGGCTCTTGCTGTCAATCCAAAATTGCATCCTCATGGTTGGCCAGTAGGAGACCTCTGCCACAATACCTCATGGTCAAGACTTCCAAGAGCTGCTACCTCCTGCTTTTCTGCTCCTTTCTACACCTCATGATGAAGAGCCCTCTCTGACCCCAAACCACATGGTGAAGACAGTACCAGACAGCCTCTCATGGCTCTCCTACTCTCCTTCCCATATGGTCCAGAGCTTCAGTATGGCTGCTACACTTGCACTTTTAAATCCCGGCACAGATCTGTGTCTGTACCCCATTTATGACTCCTCTG